GCTGTCGTTTAATCCAACGTTCTAACTGTCAACTGTCTCAACAGGACCATAGGTTTGGTTATATATCTCCTCCCTGTCTCTATGTCTTAAGTTGTTAATCCGTAACTGCGGTCCAAATGTATCAACTTATTCATCTATTGTTGCAAACTTGACTGATTTAAACATATCTTATTGATCATGAACTACTCAGTCAGTCAAGCACCTGTATCAGAAATGTAAAACCAGCCATGTTTCATGTAGTCCCAATATCACTGAAAAATGCCGATGTAACGTGTTCAGTCTGCCTCACCAAGCGTAAGAAAGCATTGTACATGTTCTGATAAACCATACTGATGCAATTAAGCAAATGAATATTTGCTGTGGGCAAATATCTATTTTCTATATATATATTTGTGGATATGAAGCATTCTAGTTAATTGTGGATACACTGGGCAGACAGAATTGTGTTTATTTCCAGGCCATCCTGATCGTCGTTTACTACTATAAGGTGTATGTTTTGAGGCAAGATCAAAGGCGCCGCACAGCATTTATTAGATAACAGACGGGGTCGTCCGTTTCGCTTTAAACAACCACCCCACCCTGTCTGTAGGAGTTATATAATCGGTGCGCAAATAACTGTGTCAAGTCCACTGCCGGGCTGATGCGGTGTCAGTGTCAGCGATGAACATGAATGCTCAAATTATAGACCTGTAGCACTCACAAGTTGCTCAGCCAAAATATTTGAAAAGTGTATATTCAATTCTCTGATTACAGCAAATATAACCTTAGAAATAGATTCAACATACAAACAATCAAATGTAGAACACAGACCTATGCTTAATAATAATTTCTTCTGGATATGAACCCTCTATCCGATGAAGTAACTAATGCTCGCTCATTAAAAGAAATCAAATCCTTAATTAATCGTTCTGATGCAATTACTAATAATTTTGACTTCAAATATTTTCATAGATCATGCCAAATTGTCCACTGTCGCCTTAGGCTCGGCTGCAGTGACTTAACGCTGATAAGTTTAGACGACATGTATCAGACATACCAGACTGCACTTGTGGATATCACCTTGAAGATGCAATTCACATTTTCTATAACTGTCAAAAAATACGATAATATCAGAAACACTGTGTGTTTCTACACACATGGATATGGTCTAAAAATGATATTACGTGGCAGTAGTTAAGCAGTTCTACAAACATGACTCTTCTTAAATCAGTTCACGACATCATTGTCAAAAGCAAAAGGTTTGAGTAGCTTAATTTTATGCATGTAGTAAAGGAAAACTGCATTACCTTATTTCACAGACACCACTTGCTTCAGTGTATTGGCTTAGTGTATTTCATTTGTGCATTTTGTATGTTTATGTTCATCACTCTCTTATATATATCCAGCTGTTGTTAAGTTGTTACCTGGAGTGGTATTACATAAGCAAGTTTTGCTTGTTTACCGATCCAGATTTCTTTTGAAATAAAAATACGTTTAAGCCAACACAGCTAACCGTAAAACACATGATTGTAAACTATTCAAAAAGGGGCACTAATCTCTGGCTTCTTCTCGGGTGTCGGACTCAAACTCAAACTCATTTATTCTTAGAATAACATGACATACAATTATCTACAATTTTTATTATGTACAATTTAACAAAAATAATAAAAATAGGATACATGGATACTAATACAATTTACCAATTGTATTGTACACATTGTTAAGGAATTTAGATAGGCCTTTTAGATTTCTTACACTGTTAGTGGTCATAATTTTCTTAAATGTTTGGAAACTTAAGATATTGCTTATTTAAGAGTTCATATCGCCGTTGGTGAAAAGCTTCACATTGGAATAAATAATGCAATTCATATCCCATAGCGATAGATTCACAGAGTGGACACTGGCTGTCTTCCCTGGGAATGTTCAGCCATCGACCTGTTTCAACTGGTAATCCTTGGTTAGAAAGTTCTGACTTTAATTTTGAGAGCAGTAGATATTTCGCAAATGAAGGTTGATTCTTCAGGTAAAACGACCTTTGGATTTCCGCTTGGGCTTTCTAGCTGCCGTGAGTCAATTTGCTCGTTAACGCAACCGAGCGTGACAAGAGACTGGGCTACCAGTCTGCAAGGACGGCTATAGCTTACGCATTTTTGAAAAGTGATTGGTTACCCGTGATTGGTTACCCGATTTCAACAAAGGGCGCATGGTAATTAATTTCTTCAGCCTAAACAAACAGACAAATAACGGCGAAAGCTCATCGGATGTCGTTATTTGGAAATACCCCTGATGGTTACAGTTTAATAATAAAAAAGTATCCCTGAGTGAAAGCATTTGCGGATTTCGGATTGCGTGGATGATACAATTACTACTCCCTTGTTGTCATCCACATTTTCTGGTATAACCCTACACTTGTGTATTTGTCGTAATTCACTTGCTGCTCAGTTAATGAATTTATAACATGTATACTTAGTTGTAGCACCACTCAGATTATAAAGGTTCAAATTTGGTCTTTCTTGTACCTGGGGTAATTATTCAATCTAAATCCAGGTTTGAAGTGAGGTGGAATGTGAGTTATGTGATACGCACGTGGCAGCCCAGCAAGAGATGTATGGTCAGTTGCTTTACTTTTTTTGTAAATCAACTGATCATTCCCAGACATCAAAGGATCAACAGGAAATACGTTGATTGATTAATTACTGTTATCTTGCACAGTGGATATGTCAAAAGTAAGTGTTTACATGTGAAGGTAGGTTTACTAAACCTAGGCAATACACTCATATCATGGCGTGAAGTACAGATGTAAAAACAACATACTTTGTTCAAAGGGTAACCGATAATACACTGACTGGTTGTTCATTGTTATCTAACACAATGTATGTTTTTTAAGAACCGAGGACATTATAAAAATAGTTGTCACGTGGGCTTTCTCAGCTAACTTGGCAGCTATGTGAAACAATTGAAACAAACTAAGTGATCAGTTAAGAAACAAACACGGGTAATAATATTCGATACATTTAAATAACGTTTAAAACGATATATTTAAATATTTTAATATATTTCATATATATTCCAAATATTGTTTCCAAATAATTATTATTAAAGTATTTGATTCTCACATAGACATTTGACATCGAATAAGTATTTTTGTACAGCTGCAGACCCAATGGATATTGTTCCTTTATGTTGATATTCCCGGATACATTATAACTTTGGTAGGTTGTAATAATTATATTTGCATTTTGTTTTAATTCATTCGCTGCAGCTTTGAACAGAATCATTCTTGTTCCTTTCCGTTTGGTTGGGAAGTTTTTCGATGCGCGATAGACGTTGTTTTCACAAGTATTTTCTTTTGTAAGCGTGTATATGTTACAGTCAGTGTGTAAAATATGATTCACTCAGGCAATTTATTAAATATCTAAATATTTCAGTCATTTTACAAATTGACTGAATAATCCATTCATTTATTTAACCGACAGACTCAAAATGATAAAGACGATCAAAAGAGCTTAAACACATCACAATATATTAATTATGCTAAGAAAAGAAGCCCAACAATACAGAACTGTACTTGGTGATGATATTAAACATAAACAAATATTTGGAATTCGTTATCATATTAATAAAGATGGACATATTTTTCAGTTAATTTGTAAAATAAACTGAATATTTAGGCGTTTAATAAATTTCCTTAGTGAAATATGTTTACATTTTGAATGTAAACATATACACACGGTAAAATAACCAATGTTCAGATGAAATATTTACTTTGTGTTGCAAGTCAAAATAGTGTACACAAAGATCGCACAATTACCGATGCTCCCCACAAATATACCTACATTTCCAAAACTGTATTTCATTTTTGTTGATCAATGTGACCATACGTCCTTCTACTTTCAATAAAAATGCGCTTACGAATGGCGAGCACAGGTCGCGAACAAGTCTAGATTTCTGCTGTATCATCCGGGTACTCACTGGGAAAATACAGAAATGCACAGGTAACAACTACTCCCGCGGAATTGCTTTAGATCAGTGCTCCTTTGTACTTTGAATTACTATATATTGTGAATGCCAAAATGATTTATCAAGGATCAAGTAGAAGATACATTGACAGTAGCGCTGGGAGTTTATTCAACAGACCCGTGAAAATAACACTGCTGTTTCTTACTATTTATTTTAGATGACGCAGTCAAAGCTCACTTCTCCTGGCGGCCATTATCGAACGGCCAGCTAAAACACAACCCCGCGCTTACGTCTACAGGTCTCTTCCTGTAGTACGGTAATTAGTATTCTCTCCCTCAAGTGTATCCTCAATGATATAACCCACCCTCATTAATTACATGCTGCTCTTTCCCAGCCTCACGGCTATGGAGCTGAGATAAAGAGTCCAAGTCATCATAAAGTAATTAGGGTCCAATAAAAACAATGCGCCGCCAAACCTCATACATATTATCACTGAAAGTCGTACTACAGACGGTTAATGTCAAATCACAATAAAAGCATTTCAATTGCAATAACATGTTCCAGGACCATGTATTCTCTTAACACCATCGGATTTTGAAGCAATGGTCGTATAAAACAAGACAGATCTATTTAAACACAACAGTATTCATGTTATTCCAACAAAATCACAGAAAGAAAGGAGACATTAGCAAATACATGTGTATTATCATTTTTCGTCAGGATAACAAAATTTTCTCTCCTTGTTACCACCTCCAGGTTCAGCTTATGACGGGTCCTCCTTTGGTCAAAAGTTTCTTCCCCCTCTAATGAGTGTGTCACGCGTTGCACACGAGTGGCGGACGGGGTGCACACCCGTGTGCAACGCGTTGCACACGGGTATCACACGCGTGACCAACCCGATGCACACTGGTTGCGTAACGTGTTGCCCATGCGTGTAAGGGGAATGAACTTCTAGGCAGTAGTGTACTATGTCAGTATAACACATGCTTTCTCAGTATAACACATGCTTTGCCAGTATAACACATGCCTCGTTAATATTTATGAGAGTGTGCTCATTACAGGTGTGGAATGTGAAGACAGGGGAGGCAATGTATCAGTTTGAGGGACACATTCAGCGCCTCTTGGCGGTGACCTGGAGTGGTACTGACCCCGATGAGGTCATGTCTGGAGGGTTTGACTCCATGCTGCACCGATGGAAGGTTTCCTCCCTCCCAAAGGCCGTCATAGAAACAGGTAGGTTAACAGTTGGGCTTGAAGAGGTTTCATTCCTTTGGAATAGTAAATAGCCAGGATAAGCAAAGATGATTTAATAATCTGGTTTTATGATGTTGAAGATGTTTTAGCAATGCTGAAGGTGTTTTGTTGTTGTTGAAGGTGCTTAGATAATGCTTGCAACAAATCAAGGGCGTAACTCAACTCAGTAAATAATAACTTTCTCTTTCCTCACAAATTCAGCAAATAATGTTCTGAAGGGTTTCAGTTTAGGAAACTGTAAGATTACGACATTTAAACATATTTGATCATGCTGGCTGGATGAAATTAATTGGCACATTGACCTAGTGTTGGTGAAAGAAGACACCTTTAGCTGATGTAATAAAATAATGGTGTCATTCTGAACTCACGGGAGAGGATAAATCAGTCAGAATATGCAATCTGTCATGTTGGTTGTAAAAAACCATCACATGTGGGAGAAGGGCAGTAACTTGGAGGCACTGATACTGGTGAGGACATACGTCCATCAGATTTATGACTTCCAGGAATAGGCAATACTGCAGAAATCCAAGTACACTGTACTAGAATATGAACTACACATGTGCACTACTGTTTCATCTCTAAATATAAATATAGCTTGTTTATGGATCTACTAAAGAACGCCACCCCTACCTTACCACCCCACCCCCCAAGTACAAAAACCTTGAATGCAACGTTGAACCCCATTTTATGTCACCTATACCAATCTATTCAGAGCACTCTCTCAAACACTCTTCTGACCACTCTCTGTTGACCACTTAAGCAACCACTCATTCTCCCATATGCTCATTCAGTCACTCAACTACTAAACCACTAACAAACCACCCAACCAACCACACCACTGTATTTTAAGGAATAGTCATTGCACAATTTATGACATATATATTTATATGAACGGAAACTCTTCATGCAAATTTTAATTCAGGAATAGCTTTATTCTTTCATTTACTACCTAGGTAGTCAAAAAAACATCACAAAAAGTTAATATTAAGAAGACAAATTTATGGCTTCCAAAAATATGATCAAATCATATCATTAATCATGGTGCAGTCACTAGCTGAAGCCCCACTAAAATACCAATTGTACGTCCATGAATGTGAGAGAGAACAGCTGTAAGTAATGCTGGTGGAAGGACATGTTGCTGTAACAACAAATACATCACCTCTGCTTCTGTAAGTCATACTCTGTAACATGATATGTTCCTAGAGAGAATCCAGGTGTTGAAGCGTTTTAGATTTCGCATGCAGATTGTTATGTTGAAAATATTGACTATTTAAAATAATGCATACCACTTTCCAGAAGATTTGGTTTCAAAGATTTGATGGGCTGGTTGTGTTGCCTAGTGGTTAAAGTGTTCACTCGTCACGCCCAAGTCCCGAGTTTGATTCCCCACATGGGTACAATGTGTGAAGCCCATTTCTGGTGTCCCCTGCCATGATATTGCTTTAATATTGCTAAAACCGGCGTAAAACCACAGACACTCACTCACTCACTTAAGATTTTAGTGTTAGGTTTTAGTTCTCAGTATTTATGCAGAAAATGTTTGAATATCAATGCTCAGTACAACTACATATCCAGGTGAGCTACAGTGTCATGGCACTATGTTTTTGTAAAGATTAATGTGTTGTAAGTGCTAGTGAGGTTTCCATGAAAAATACTGCACAATGCCAAGGACAGTTTGAAAAGTGATCGAAGGTTTAATGAGGAAATAAGCAGAAAATGTATTTCTGTTGTCTTGGACTTGGAAGTTAAAGGAAAGAAAATGACAGTCATTTTGTCGTATCAATTAATATGTACACGCAATCAGCAGCACTATCAAGCCAAGAACTAGGATGTGGACCACTTGTTAATGATCAAATGTAAGAGTTCATGGTTGTTGCAGTTGAATTGACAGGTTATCATTTCCATCGTGGTCACTTGAAATATGTTATTGCTGATTAAGTTCTCATGCACTGTGAGTGAGAAGACTGGGCATAGTGTAGCACATGAACTGTGTATTCAAAGTAGCATATAGTGTAGTGTTTAACTGATGGGTAGGGTTGTACAGGAGGCTCAGGGATTTTACAGGAGGGTGGGGTGTTGTGGAGGAGGCACAGGGGTCTAACAGGAGGTAGGGTGGGTTTTACAGGAGGCTGAGGTGTTTTACAGGAGCGTGGGGTGTTGAGCAGGAGGATCAGGGATTTTACAGGAGGGTGGGGTGTTGTGGAGGAGGCACAGGGGTCTAACAGGAGGGCGGGTGGGTGGGTTGTACAGGAGGCCGAGGTGTTTTACAGGAGGGTGGGGTGTTGAGCAGGAGCGTGGGGTGTTGTACAGGAGGGTGGGGGTGTTTTACAGGAGGGTGGGGGTGTTTTACAGGAGGGTGGGGTGTTGTACAGGAGGGTGGGGTGTTGTGGAGGAGGGTGGGGGTGTTGTGGAGGAGGGTGGGGTGTTTTACAGGAGGGTTGGGTGTTGTACAGGAGGGTGGGGGTGTTGTACAGGAGTGTGGGGTGTTGTACAGGAGCGTGGGGTGTTGTACAGGAGGGTGGGGTGTTGTACAGGAGGGTGGGGTGTTGTACAGGAGGGTGGGGGTGTTGTACAGGAGGGTGGGGGTGTTGTACAGGAGGGTGGGGGTGTTTTACAGGAGGGTGGGGTGTTGTACAGGAGGGTGGGGGTGTTTTACAGGAGGGTGGGGTGTTGTGGAGGAGGGTGGGGGTGTTTTACAGGAGGGTGGGGGTGTTGTACAGGAGGGTGGGGTGTTGTGGAGGAGGGTGGGGGTGTTGTACAGGAGGGTGGGGTGTTGTACAGGAGCGTGGGGTGTTGTACAGAAAGATGGGGTGTTGTACAGGAGGGTGGGGTGTTTTACAGGAGGGTGGGGTGTTGTACAGGAGGGTGGGGTGTTGTACAGGAGGGTGGGGTGTTGTACAGGAGGGTGGGGTGTTTTACAGGAGGGTGGGGGTGTTGTACAGGAGGGTGGGGTGTTGTGGAGGAGGGTGGGGGTGTTGTACAGGAGGGTGGGGGTGTTGTACAGGAGGGTGGGGTGTTGTACAGGAGGGTGGGGTGTTGTACAGGAGGGTGGGGTGTTGTACAGGAGGGTGGGGGTGTTTTACAGGAGGGTGGGGTGTTGTACAGGAGGGTGGGGTGTTGTACAGGAGGGTGGGGTGTTATACAGGAGGGTGGGGTGTTGTACAGGAGGGTGGGGTGTTGTACAGGAGGGTGGGGGTGTTTAACAGGAGGGTGGGGGTGTTTTACAGGAGGGTGGGGTGTTGTACAGGAGGGTGGGGGTGTTGTACAGGAGGGTGGGGGTGTTGTACAGGAGGGTGGGGTGTTGTACAGGAGGGTGGGGTGTTGTACAGGAGGGTGGGGGTGTTGTACAGGAGGGTGGGGGTGTTGTACAGGAGGGTGGGGTGTTGTACAGGAGGGTGGGGGTGTTTTACAGGAGGGTGGGGTGTTGTACAGGAGGGTGGGGTGTTGTACAGGAGGGTGGGGTGTTGTACAGGAGGGTGGGGGTGTTTAACAGGAGGGTGGGGGTGTTTTACAGGAGGGTGGGGGTGTTGTACAGGAGGGTGGGGGTGTTGTACAGGAGGGTGGGGTGTTGTACAGGAGGGTGGGGTGTTTTACAGGAGGGTGGGGGTGTTGTACAGGAGGGTGGGGTGTTGTGGAGGAGGGTGGGGGTGTTGTACAGGAGGGTGGGGGTGTTGTACAGGAGGGTGGGGGTGTTGTACAGGAGGGTGGGGGTGTTTTACAGGAGGGTGGGGTGTTTTACAGGAGGGTGGGGTGTTTTACAGGAGGGTGGGGTGTTTTACAGGAGGGTGGGGGTGTTGTACAGGAGGGTGGGGGTGTTTTACAGGAGGGTGGGGTTTTTTACAGGAGGGTGGGGTGTTTTACAGGAGGGTGGGGGTGTTGTACAGGAGGGTGGGGTGTTGTACAGGAGGGTGGGGTGTTGTGGAGGAGGGTGGGGTGTTGTACAGGAGGGTGGGGGTGTTTTACAGGAGGGTGGGGGTGTTGTACAGGAGGGTTGGGTGTTTTACAGGAGGGTGGGGTGTTTTACAGGAGGGTGGGGGTGTTGTACAGGAGGGTGGGGTGTTGTACAGGAGGGTGGGGTGTTGTGGAGGAGGGTGGGGTGTTGTACAGGAGGGTGGGGTGTTGTACAGGAGGGTGGGGTGTTGTACAGGAGGGTGGGGTGTTTTACAGGAGGGTGGGGGTGTTGTACAGGAGGGTGGGGTGTTGTACAGGAGGGTGGGGGTGTTGTACAGGAGGGTGGGGTGTTGTACAGGAGGGTGGGGTGTTGTGGAGGAGGGTGGGGGTGTTGTACAGGAGGGTGGGGTGTTGTACAGGAGGGTGGGGTGTTGTACAGGAGGGTGGGGTGTTTTACAGGAGGGTGGGGGTGTTGTACAGGAGGGTGGGGTGTTGTACAGGAGGGTGGGGTGTTTTACAGGAGGGTGGGGGTGTTGTACAGGAGGGTGGGTGGGGGTGTTGTACAGGAGGGTGGGGTGTTGTACAGGAGGGTGGGGGTGTTTTACAGGAGGGTGGGGGTGTTGTACAGGAGGGTGGGGTGTTGTACAGGAGGGTGGGGTGTTGTGGAGGAGGCACAGGGGTCTAACAGGAGGGCGGGTGGGTTGGTCTGTACAGGAGGCCGAGGGATTTTACAGGAGCGTAGGGTGTTGTACAGGAGCGTGGGATGTTGTACACGAGCGTGGGGTGTTGTACAGGAGGGTGGGGTGTTGTACAGGAGGATGGGGTGTTGTACACGAGCGTGGGGTGTTGTACAGGAGGGTGGGGTGTTGTACAGGAGGGTGGGGTGTTGTACAGGAGCGTGGGGTGTTGTACAGGAGGGTGGGGTGTTGTACAGGAGGGTGGGGTGTTGTACAGGAATCAAAGAGTGTACCTAGATCTTTCTGTGTTATTATGTTATATTCCCATAAACCCAAACAGAGATTGCATGTTTTTTTCTGACAGGAATAGTAGGCTGATCAGTGACGATAACATTGGTAAATGGATAAGCC